GGGTGGCTGAAGTCCTTTGGCTAAAAAATCTTCTAGGGGAGTTTGGAGTTGTTGTTATAATCCTATGTCTCTTTACTGTGACAACAAGGCAGCCATAAACATCGCCAGCAACCCTGTCCTACATGAGAGGACCAAGCACATTGAGGTGGACAAACACTTCATAAGGGAAAAATTGGAAAAAAGGGAAATATRCATCCCTTATGTCAACTCCAAGGAACAATTTGCTGATGTTCTCACAAAAGGGCTTCTATACTCGCGGCACAATGAGTTATGTGACAAGCTGGGCATGATAGACATATTCAGCCCAAGTTGAGGGGGAGTGTTGTGAGGATTATTTAATTGTTATTGTATAGTTGCTGTTAGTGGGTTGTCCTCTTAAAATGCTGTCAGTTAGTTATTTTCTTTCTTTCTTATTAGTTTGTTTCTAGGGAGTGCCGCCAAGGGCATACTTGTAATTTCCATTCTTTTTATATTAAGTTAATATAAATAATGAATTGGCGGCAGCCAGAATAAGCTTTTCGTTTTCTCTCAATCATATCTTCCTCTTCTTTTCTTTCTCTCTCGTCTCTCTCTCTCCATGAATGATTACAATCTACTTGTTTTTTAATCACAATTTTACTTAGACTTCACCTTATAAAGAAGCAAAAGTTTGTTCAAGTTAGCAAATAACCTGACCATCTTATGATTATGTTCTATTCACTTCTGCAGAACATCATCCACCTAGCGCTGGTGTTCTCTTTCCAAAATTCCAACAAATTAGCTGTTATCTATCCCACTTTTTATTTTATTTATTTTTTTTTTCCGTTCGCTTAGGTTTCTTAATTTGGTTGTGCAATGAATGATCATTTCACATTACACATAGTTGGGTCATTGGCACATTTATTAGCTTCTGGTGTTATTGGATATACTTCTTATTTCTCTTCAATAATGCAGGCATTCATGTTAAAGAGGGCATCCGAGGAGCCTCTTGGTCATGCAGCTGCCATAATCACTGATGTGCTAGAGAATGCAGAAACCAACCACATAATCAATGCTTCTCAGAAGCGATCTCTTCTACAGGAAATGGCACTTAGGCTATCTTAGAGGCCTATCCCATCGGCTGCAATATTTGTTGGTAAGGTTCACATTATATAAATATATGTGCACTGCAAGAATTAATCATGTTTAGATGCAATAGTAATTTTGCAGTTTTATTTCATCTCAACATGTCACTTCTAGCATCACTAGGCTGAGTGTAAAGTTCTTTAAGATACTGCTACTAGCATAAGCCAGTATGTACACGCATATATATGTATATATATATATATATATATATATGTATATATATATATGTATATATATATAAATATTTTGTACATACAAATATATATGTATATATATATATATATACAAATACTAAAATACATGTTCAGAAAATTTATCTAATCTTTTGCGATTCAACAGACACAGGAAACATATATTGACCATCTTGACTTGGTTGATTTTAGTTTTATAAGACAATTTTGATGCATATGCTGTACAGGCATTCTTTTCCAGTCTGAATTACTAAGGTGAAACACACACACACAGACACTGGTCCATTTGCAGACATCTTTAGGCGTCCAGTACTTACAATGTGATTATGTATGAGAAATTGAAAATACAGTCTTGGTTTCATAATTAACAAGGCTGATGACATTCATTGTCACTGGAGGCTGTATTTGGTTTGACAGAAAACAAGAGAGGAACTGAAAGTTGAGGGAAAGTTCTCTAGGATTTTTGTGAATCTTATTTCTATGAAACCAAACACAGCATGCTAGAATGCGTTAAACTACCAAGGCTTTTATTTTTGGAGTTCCACAACTTCTCCATCTCTCTACCCTCACAAAGTCACAACCAAGCCATTTATTTCTCCCAGCGATCAAATGAATACGTAAAAACTCGTATAGTTGCAGGTTACGACCATGATTGCTTTCTCACCTACCCGAAGAATAGGGTTCTTTGGTGGACCCTTTTTTATTTTTCAATGAAACTAACAATTATCATTTCAATAAAAAAGAGGGTAACAAAATTCTGAAAAAAGGAGGATTATCCATCCAACAAAACGGCAGTCGGGATAACTTTCAATTCCATTTCTAAAACAAAAGCCTTCACCTCTGATCTCCCTCCTGCAGCAAACAAAACAGCAGCCAGGTTGGTACCTGACCTGAGCACGGCTCCTATTTCCTAAGCTCAGTTTGGAAGAAGTACAAATACAAATATGTAGAGTGTAAAACCTTATATTTTGTATTATTTTTTATGTATTTGTACTTGTTACTCTTTCCATTGGAAGGGGTACAGTATATATATATATTTGAGCAAAGGAGGACTTTCAATTATCTCAATTAAGCATATTAGAAGAAACAACGGCTGTCAAGAAATCATGACAAGTCGACCAAGTAGTAATAGAAGAAAAATTGATAGCAATTTGAGCAACTTTGTGAGCTGCCATATTTGCCATCCTTCTAGTATGAGTAATTGAGAATGAATGGAGGTGTGATAAAAGACCTTTGCAATCTTCAATAGTAGTGTTAACACACCACGGTTGGGTTGAGGAATCCACCAACAAGAGGTCAGTTACTTGTTTAGCGTCGCCTTCAAAAGCCACATTGTCAAGCTGTAACTCAATAACAAATTTGATACCCATGAGGAATGCAATAACTTCAATTTGAAGAGGGGAACCAACTGGGAGAGGAATTTCACAGGAATAAATATGAACACCCCTGTGATCTTTGATAATAATATCAGCTCCAGTTTTGTTTTCTCATGCTGCACTATCAATATTTATTTTCAGCCAGCCAATACTTGGTTTAGTCTAAGAGTGGTTCTGAATAGGAAATGTAGTCTCAATAGTGGAAGAGTAACAACTTTTTCCATTCTTCAAGTAAAATTCACATAAATCTTGAGAATGTTTTATAATAGCTTCTTGATTGAAAGGTTTATTATTAAAGATGGTGTTATTCCTCTCCCTCCAAATCGTCCATAGGATAGTGGCACCACGAAGAAAGACAAGGGTATCTAAATTTTTCTCTACCTTCAACCAAGACAGTAACCACTCAACTAGGCTTTGATTAGGATAGAGCTCTATTCTCAAGTTCAAAATAGAACCAAACCAAATTGGTTGGACCATTGGACAATAGAGGAGGATGTGTTCTGTGGTTTCAACATTCTCTCCACAAAGTTGACAGGTTGGATCAATGTCACTGATATGATGACGGAGACATACCTAGGTAGGTAAGATTCAATGAATACAACACCATAAGAAAATCATGATTTGTGGGGGGAGACTATTATACTTCTAGAAGTCAAATCATGACCAGCCCTGTTATGGGCCCGAGCGTAGGATCGCGTCACGGGTCGCTCCACCGCAGGAACCTCAAATCTTTCCTTCCTTTTGGCCTTGCGTACATGCCCTATTTTGACTATCTCGCGGGTGATTTGTCCACGAGATCACTTAACTCTCCTTTACTCTATTTCTTGACTGAATATTTGATATTCTCATTTAATAATGGTGTCTCCTTAAATAGGAGATTACAAGAGTCCTAATCTTAGGGAGTCTCCTTGCTGAATAAGGAGACTTCCAATTCTATTTTGCTAAGGATAAGATAAGCTAATCCTAATCTGATAAAAAGATAAACTAATCATAATCTGATAACAAGATAAACTAATCCTAATTTGATAATAAGATAAACTAATCATAATCTGATAATTTACTAACAAGATAAGATAAGAGCAATAGAATAAGATAAGAACAAGCAAGATGATCTAATCAAATCTGGTGGTGGGTCAAGTTCTTGTTACTGCCGGCGGCGATGGTACGTCTTTCCGAGGAATGCATCCATAACAAGCCCCCAATTATATAATTGGCCGTTGATGAGCTCGGTTAGTTGAGAGAAAATAATTTTAAACAAAAGAAGTAGTAAACCGTCCATGAGGGGTTGGAGCTCACACCAATCAATCCATCTTCTTAGATGTAAGGAGTGGGAGTTGACATTGTAAGATAGAATCTGTAGTAGATGAGGAAAAGAGAATGTTTAATAAGTTCTTCTCTCCAAGTCATTTGCATGTGGTCAATGAAGTTTGCAACTCTCCAATTGGAGATGAGATCCCGGTGAGCTTCAAAAGTGACTTGTACCTCAGTAGAAAGCCATGGATCATGAAGTATACTAATTTGTATTTGTACCTTAGTAGAAACCCTCCAAGGTTTTGCACTCTACGTATTTGTATTTGTACTCTTTCCAAACTGAGCCTAAAATACGTTCTTATTATCTTATGGTATACAGTGTTTCTATATGAAATATGTAATGCTCTTTTTCCTTTGGGCAAATGTGTGGGCATAAAATTTCTATATGAAGTACTCATGGCCTTTTCTTTGGGCAAAGGTACGCTTGATTTGCTATGTGCTTGTGCCTTAACTATGGTGGTGTTCGGAAGCATGGTGAAACCATGCCATTTTGGGTTTCAGACCACGCCACACCTAATTCAGTGGTGTGATTTAAACCCCACCATATCGTGGTGTGGTTTTTCCTCGTGGCCTCAATTACACCATGGGGAACTATAGTCCCAATGTTGGTTACGGTGCTTTATAGATTCATTTTTAATATTTAAAATTATAATTAATTAGTTTTATTTTATTATGTTATTATTTTAGTAGTTCTCTTATGTAGTGTTTTCAACCCGTTATTGATCTTATCGGGCAAACCACTCAAATCGTCACCTGGTCAAGATTATGAGTTTGGTTTTAGTAAGACTTGGTGGATGGTTGAAAATTATTGACTTGGTCAAAAACCATTTGACCCAGATGGTTGGGCCATTGATCCGATGAATAGTTGAAAACCATTGACTTTGTCAAAAACTGTCTGACCTAGATGGTTGGACCGTTGACCCATTTGACCTGGTGGACGATTAAAAATTGTTGACTTGGTCAAAAACTATCTGACTTGGACGGTTGGACCGTTGACCCGTTTGACCAGATGATCGTGTCACGGGTTGCACACTATGTATGTAAACTTTGGGAGGCCATAACTTTGCACTCCAATGTTTGATTGAGGTGATTTGAATGTTCGCGATACTTTGTACAATGTTTGAATGTTCTAGAGTCCCAATATTGTTTATTATAATATTTTTCTTCATATAACCTATTGAAGTATGCATTTCTCATGTCTTTATATCTTATTAATAAATAATTCAGCTTTTGGTTTAGTATTATTAATGTATTTATGTGATTTGTAAGCATTTCACTAGCGTATCCAAGCGTTTCTATATCTTTCATTCGTATCCATGCGTTTCCAAAGCGTATCCATATCCAACTTTATCTGATACGATACCCGCTACCGATACTCTGATCCTTGGTTGACAGTAGGGGTGTTAATGGATCAGTGTTGGGTTAGACCCCGTCCAAATCAAAATTAATTTGGATGGATTAGACAGACCAATAAAACATTGAATTGGACCTGTCCAGATGTAATGGTCCAAAATATTTAGTGGATTGGATTGCACCTAGTCCATCTGTAATGGATTTATATTGGATTGGGTCAGATTGAACAAATATCCGGCCCGTTGATAAAAGATAAGAATACAAGTGTCAATGAACCAAGTTTTAATTGGAACAAGTCTAAATTAAAACCAATTTGAACAGATTTGATTTTCCAGACATTGAATTGGACGGTCTAAAATGGTCCAAAATATTCATGAGATTGGATTGGACCTGCTCTATTTGTAATGAACTCATATTGGACCAAATCTGGTCCAATTGACACCCCTAGTTGAGAGTTGAGATGGTCACTCCAGCATGGGCGGTGGGCCTCATATTTTCTCTGTTCTGTCCCCAACCTTCAGTCCCCTCCAGGCCACCAATTTGTTCTATATAAGGCCAAAGAACGTTTCCTTTCAAGCCAAGCCTGATCTCACAGCTTTGTTATCTGCCACTTACACCGCTGTGTATAGACTTGCTCATGGGCTGGGTAGTTTCATGGGCTGGCTTGCCTTAGCCCGTCTTAAATTGGGCTTGAACAAAATTTTAAGTTCATGGGCTTGGGCTCAAGTTCTAAAAATTGGGTCTGACTATTTTTCGGGCTGGATTTGGACTTTTCCAAATAAGCTCAGTCCGATAATATTAAATATATAATAGAAATATAATATATGATAATAATACATAATATATATTGTATAGTAATAAAA